ACCTTCGATCAAGAATTGTTGACTTGCATGAAGCTGGAAAGGGTTACAAAAGTATCTCCAAAAGCCTTGATGTTCATGTGTCCACGGTAAGATAGACTGTCTACAGATGGAGAAAGTTTAGCACTGTTGCTACTCTCCCTAGGCATGGTCGTCCTGTAAAAATGACTGCAAGAGCACAGCGCAGAATGCTGCATGAGGTAAAGAAGAATCCCAGAGTGTCAGCTAAAGACCTACAGAAATCTCTGGCACATGCTAACATTTTTGTTGACACATCGACAATAAGGAAAACATTAAACAAGAATGGAGTACATGGGAGGACACCACGGAGGAAGCCATTGCTGTCCAAAAAGAATATTGCAGCACGTTTGAAGTTTGCAAAAGAGCATCTGGATGTTCCACAGCACTACTGGCAAAATATACTGTGGACAGATGAAACCAAGATTGAGTTGTTTGGGAAGAACACACAACACTATGTGTGCGGAGAAAAAAAGGCACAGCACACCAACATCAAAACCTCATCCCCACTGTAAAACATGGCGGAGGGAGCATCATGGTTTGGGGCTGCTTTGCTGCCTCAGGTCCTGGACGGATTGTTGTCATTGATGGGAAAATGAATTCCAGAGTTTATCAAGACATTTCGAAGGAAAACATACAACCATCTGTCCGCCAACTGCAGCTCCGCAGAGGATGGGTGATGCAACAGGACAATGACCCAAAGCTTACAAGTAATTCAACAAAACAATGACTGCAACAGCACAGAATACGCCTTCTGGAGTGGCCCAGTCAGAGTCCTGACCTCAACCCGATTGAAATGCTGTGGCATGACCTTAAGAGAGCGATTCACACCAGACATCCCAAGAATATTGCTACACTGAAACAGTTTTGTGAAGAGGAGTGGTCCAAAATTATTCCAGATCGTTGTGCAGGTCTGATCTGCAACTACAGGAAATGTTTGGTTGAGGTTATTGCTGCCAAAGGAGGGTCAACCAGTTATTAAGTCCAAAGGTTCACATACTTTTTCCTCCCTGCACTGTGAATGTTTACATGTTATGTACAATTAAACCATGGCAACATCTAATGTTTGTGTAGTATTATGTTCAGCAGACTGTGTTCTTCTATTGTTGTGACTTAGATGGCGTTCAGAGCACATTTTATGCCTAATTCATGCAAAACTCCACGTAATCCCAAGGGGTTCACATACTTTTTCTTGCAACTGTATGTGAACCGGCACCATATGAAGCAATGTTATTTCACATGTCATGCGGATTGGATGCGGTTCAAATCACATCCTATCCACATATATGTGAACGGGCACTTAGTGTCACTTTAATAATAAACGTGAGTCTCTGTGAGTTGTAGTTGTTGGAAATGTTATGTATACAGATTTTGGTATTCAATTATAAGTAGTGTGAAGTAGGAAGATCGATGCCTGAACATCTATAATTAGGTTCATAGAAGGGAGCTCTAGTGTAGAAGGCATTGGAGTTAGTGTGTGTCACCCTAATTTCACTGCCAAGGTTGGATGTGGTGGGAGAAGGTGGAGCTATGGATGTAGCTTGCTTGGGGGTGTCAACACAGAATCACCCATATGACCAGGCTGGTTGTATGGCCAGCCCAATGAACAATGACAGTAGATTGTGTTCAGTTAGCTATAGTTAGTGGGTAGATCTGGGATTTGGAGGATCCATCCCCTGCTCCCTATTACCCCCCACTGGCCATGGCTCATCCACACAATGCTACCATATTCTCCCCCAGACCCTGACAGTGACAGGTCTTATAGTTGACATATCTGAAGATGCTTGGTGTTGTAAAGATGGGGGCAATTTGTGGTCCAAAAACATAAGTGTGGCCTTCTTGGTTAACCATACCATGCAAAATACCACAATTACAATATAGCTTCCTTTCATTGCATTACTGAAAACTATTACCCCTTACTGCACCATTTTCATTTGAGATGTATATATTTATCTATGAATACTTATAAAGTCTGAACACAAACTCCTTTATAACAACCCAAAAACAAAGAGACACAATTTCATACTAAGATCTCATGGTTAGGGGCACTAAAATATGTGGTTGAGCTGAATTTTTACTGCCACCCCCAACTGCTCCCCTTAAGCTGCAAAGACAGCAGACAGGAGTAGACTCGTGCTGTGGCCATGGTACTTTGCATTGCAACATGGCAAAAATGATCCCCCCAGCGAGTTCTACTAAATGGGGCTACACCCCAGGGGTTAAAATCACCGCTAGTTAAACAATCCCCTAATAGTGGCATGAATTGATTCCAGAACCCATAGACTGTGATGTCCCAGTATTTCAAGCTGCTATGTATTTTCCATAAAAGGCACATCTCTGGTACAAAAAATATATAATGTTTTCAGCTGAACACAAACTCATCCACTGACATCAAAATTAGGGCAATCCAATGAAAATATTTGGCATTTCATTAGGCTTCGATCATGCCAGACAGACAGTCTTATCTGACTTTTGTTGTTTGCTGATTTGGTATAAAGTGAACCATTCAAATAGTTTCTAGGTGAATGTAGTAAAGAATGTGAGATTATAGCGGATATTGTGCTTATTCTGCTTTTCTTTTCATGTTCAAAAGTGTTTACTACAGGTTTCTGCAAATGTTCTTTCTCTCTGCTATTAAAGTACATTACTGTCCTTGCTAAGACCTGCTGGCAAACATTAATGAAGCCAGCAGGAAACGGAAACATAAGTGAGGCCCAGGGCAGAGGTATACCACTAGTAACATTCTGCTTAAAGTGTATGTAGCACTACCCCATTTAGGGTCGGGGAGTTATTTTCGGGCTCCCTGTCACTCTTGACCCCACTCTGAAATTCCAGCGCCTGCTGACACCACAGTACTCTCCTAACCAAAGTAAATTATCACTAGAAAATAGACTCACACACAGATTGGGATGAACTGATACGATGTTTATATTAAACTTGGATGTAAGCTCGCTCAAACAGCATAAAGTGATATATGTGTACATATTGGCAATTACCACTTTTAATAACACTTAAAAAACTACACATTCAGCAAAATGTCAATCAGTGCTGGAAGGCCTGCTTTCAGAAGTTAACCCAAAACCTCTAACCTGAGGTGCTTCTAGTCCCCAGTGAGCAAGGAAACTATCAAAAGTGGAATTAGTTCACTTTGGGCCCTCAGGATATGATATCAAGGTTTAAATCTGAAATAGAAGGAGCTCCTTTAATTAGTGTAGTCAACTTCCCTTTAAATGCAGTGAGGAATCTTTTGCGCACTCGTTGGGGCCCAGTTGGTGCACTACAACGATCCAGACTTTTCAAGTGGGAAAAGATGAAAGTGGCAGTCCCTCAAAAGGATTAAAACAAGGGGAAAAAAAGGGAGAACAGATACAATCCTTTAAGTAGCACTTGACTTGGGTGGTGTCCCTTTAATGCACTAAGCAGGTTGCAAAGTTTAGGCAAAAAGGCGTCAGAAGTTGGCTGAAGCACTTGCTGACAAAGGGCAACTCCTCTCTGGGCTGAAGCAAATAATGGCAATGCTGGTAGATGTTCATTTAAGAGGGTAGATCGATAGTTAAGGGAACAATGATGTGGTTTGGCCTGCAGAAGGTGTGCGCTGCCGTCAGCTCTGATGAGTGAACTATACTGCAAATATGGTCAATAGTAGCAAGAACTAGGCCGCAACACATGTTAATTACCGTATTTATCGCTCCATAAGACGCACCTGAACATAAAACGCACCTAGGTTTTAGAGGAGGAAAACAAGAAAAAAAATATTCTGAACCAACGGACTGCGGACATAGTACAGGAAATGACCAGAGCCTGCAGACATAGTACAGGAGATGACCAGAGTCTGCGGACATAGTACAGGAGATGACCAGAGACTGCGGACACAGTACAGGAGATGACCAGAGACTGCTGACATAGTACAGGAGATGACCAGAGTCTGCGGACATAGTACAGGAGATGACCAGAGACTGCGGACACGGTACAGGAGATGACCAGAGACTGCGGACACAGTTCAGGAGATGACCAGAGACTGCGGACACAGTTCAGGAGATGACCAGAGACTGCGGACACAGTACAGGAGATAACCAGAGACTGCGGACATAGTATAGGAGATGACCAGAGTCTGCGGACATAGTACAGGAGATGACCAGAGACTGCGGACACGGTACAGGAGATGACCAGAGACTGCGGATACAGTACAGGAGATGACCAGAGACTGCGGACACAGTTCAGGAGATGACCAGAGACTGCGGACACAGTACAGGAGATAACCAGAGACTGCGGACACAGTAAAGGAGATGACCAGAGTCTGCGGACAGTACAGGGGATGACCAGAGACTGCGGACATACTACAGGGGATGACCAGAGACTGCGGACATACTACAGGAGATAACCAGAGTCTGCGGACACAGTACAGGAGATGACCAGAGACTGCGGAAACAGTACAGATGACCAGAGACTTCGGACACAGTACAGATGACCAGAGACTGCGGACACGGTACAGGAGATGACTAGAGATTGCGGACACAGTACAGGAGATGACCAGAGACTGCGGACAGTACAGGAGATGACCAGAGACTGCGTACACAGTACAGGGGGTGACCAGAGACTGCGGACACAGTACAGGAGATGACCAGAGACTGCGGACACAGTACAGGAGATGGCCAGAGATTGCGGACACAGTACAAGAGATGACCAGAGACTGCGGACACAGTACAGGAGATGGCCAGAGATTGCGGACACAATACAGGGGATGACCAGAGACTGCGAACATAGCATAGGAGATGGCCAGAGATTGTGGACATAGTACAGAGGATGGTCAGAGATTGCAGACATACAACAGGAGATGACCAGAGACTGCAGACATAGTACAGGAGATGACCAGAGACTGCGGACATAGTACAGGAGATGACCAGAGACTGCGGACATAGTACAGGAGATGACCAGAGACTGCGGACACAGTACAGGAGATGACCAGAGACTGCGGACACAGTACAGGAGATGACCAGACTACAGACATAGTACAGGAGATGACCAGAGACTGCAGACATAGTACAGGAGATGACCAGAGACTGCAGACATAGTACAGGAGATGACCAGAGACTGCGGACATAGTAAAGGAGATAACCAGAGACTGCGGACACAGTATAGGAGATGACCAGAGACTGCAGACACAGTACAGGAGATGACCAGAGACTGCAGGGGGACACAGTACAGGGGATGACCAGAGACTGCGGACATAGTACAGGGGATGACCAGAGACTGCGGACACAGTACAGGAGATGACCAGAGACTGCGGACACAGTACAGGAGATGACCAGAGACTGCGGACATAGTACAGGAGATGAGACTGCGGACAGTACAGGAGACTGACCAGAGCGGACATAGTACAGGAGATGACCAGACTGCAGACATAGTATAGATGACCAGAGACTGCGGACCTTTGGGGAGCAGAGGGGGGGGGGAGCGGGTATCAAAATTTCGACAATCCTTCCCCCTCCTTTCCTGTAGTCTTCTGGGACACGTGACAGGTCCCAGAATACTACAGCGCCATTCACAAAGTGCAGCGCTTCTCGCGCATGCGCAGTGGGCACCTGGCTGTGAAGCAGCAGGCTGTCACAGCCGGGTGACCACACTAAAGATGCTGGCGACAGGAGAGAAGACGGTGAGGACACCGCTGGACCAAGGAACAGGTAGGACCTCTAGAGGTCTGCAGGATCTGCTGCACAGAGCCGAGTGGCCGGCTCCAGTATTCTAACATGTTTTGCTCCATAAGACGCACAGACATTTCCCCTCATTTTTGGGTGGAAAAAAGTGCGTCTTATGGAGCTAAAAATATGGTATATGCAATGTCCACAACTGTGTGCAGGAAAGTGTCAGATTGGAAAGGAGTGTTAGTGTTCACTTGTTTGCTTGGTGTATGGGACTCTCTCACCCAATCTGTGGCTTCCAGCAGGTCCTGGTGGTCTCTCTCTCGGTGGATGAGGACCCCCAGTGGTTCTCTGATCAACCACTGCAGCGCTCAGTCTGATCAGAGCACCCTGAGTCGCCGCCGGCAGGATGTCTCTCTCCCTCTAGGTTGGCGATGTTGGTGGTCAGCGATCCTCCTGGCTCCTCTCCTCTCTCCCTCTGGTGGCCCACACAGCTCCCGCTCTCTCTCCATTTCTGCTCTCCAGCTCTTTTCCCTCTCACTCCCTCTTCCTGCTCCCAGACTTCTATATTTATATGCCCCTGCCCACACTCCGGCTCTTCTGGGAAAAATGTAGTTCCCGAATTAGCAGCCTTCTACAAAGTCCTGCAGTTCAGCCTATCAGATCCATAGAACCAAAGTGTGTGTCACTGAGTAGCAGGACATTGCCACTTTGTGTCTCTTTTAACATCCTGCAGTCTGAATAATAGCAGGGTGTTACATGTAAGTCCAGCCAAAACGTTTTTCTAGCTGTTAATTGAGCGGGAAAGGATTAGAACCTCTGTCAGGTTTTTGCTGCTATCCAGGATTCACTTATAGAGGCTTACCTTCACTTCCTGTCTTGGTGACAACAGTTACAGGAAGTGAGAGGCAATCTGCAACAGGAACACATACAGCAGGAGTTTTAGCCTCTCTGTACCCTACATGAAGTGCCATCCTGTTTCTTTCGGGTCACACATGTGCAGTGTGTACTGTCTTCTGCCGCTTATGATGAGCTCAGTGTCGGCAACAGGAGAGAGTACACAATGAGCATGTGCGGCCCAAAAGAACAGGACAGCACTCCCTCCCATAATACTAGTTCCAATGACCACTCTGTCACTTCTATAATTTGGGACATAGCCATCTCTAGTCACAGAGGATTTAAAGAAGCTTCTTCTAAATGCATTTGTGGTTGTTGGTGTTTAAATAGAAAGGAGGTCCCGGTAGGTATGTTTATCACACAATGCAGCTTTACCCATATGGGATATTGTAATGTGCTCTTGGTAAAGCTGAACTAACACTTTAAAATTCTGGCTATACAGTAGAGTAGTAGAGTAGATGAGGTTCAGTAAACACCCAAGCAAGACACCATACCAGGGGCAGACTGACAACTCATGGGGCCCCCGGGCAATAGGGGATCATGGGGCCCCTGTGTCCTTACCCAAGCCCGAAAAAGCCTATAAAAAAGGTACCAGGGGCATCTCATGGGGCCCCCTACTGACCCCGGGCCCTCGGGCAGTGCCCGGGTTTCCAAATGGTCAGTCCGCCCCTGCACCATACTTTACACAAGGTCCCAAATATTGTTCCTTCTCAGCACCTCCAGACAAAGTTCGTCCATGGTGTTCTGGGTAGTGTGAGCTTAGGCAACAGACTATGGACTTGTCTAATGAGCACATGGTTGCCCTCCCTAAGAAGCAGGCCAAGGAGGATAAGACATCCAAAATACGCTCTCTCAGGCACAGGGGCGGACTGACAACTCATAGGGCCCCCAGGCAATAGGGGATCATGGGGCCCCTGTGTCCTTCCAAAACTCAAAAAAGCCTATGAAAAAGGTACCAGGGGCATCTCATGGGGCCCCCTACTGACCCCGGGCCCTGGGCAGCGCCTGAGTTTCCAAATGGTCAGTCCACCCCTGCTCAGGCAGGTGTCCATGGGAAATCCTTTTACAAGGTTACATGTAGATATTATTATCCTTTCCCAGCCCTCACCATTGACAATATCCACTTTAAGGCTCCATGTACACTGCAGCTGATAAACTCACGTTTAGGAGCTTTTCTGCATTTTTTTTCAGCAGCCCCTGAACTCTCCCTAATGTTTTCCTATGTGTCCATGTACACATCGTCATTTATAGTCATTTACAGGCAGTTGAGTTTACAGTTGTTTTTTTTAATGCACCAAACGCATTCGGGAGTAGATTTTATCAGCGTTTCAAATGCCAAACACTTGTAAATGCGTTTTTGGAAACATTTTTTAACACTTCCATTTCCAGATGCTGTCCAGAGCCTTTTTTCATCATGAAAAATGCAAGCAAAGCATTTTCCCGGTACTCAAATGGACCTGGTACTTGCAGGAGGTGTTGCATGAAAGAAAATATGTTAGACACTGCTGCAATAATTTCTGCACAGAAATGAGCTGGAACACATCCAAAACACCACAAAACAAAAAAACACAGCTAATCTCAACAAATACTACTCTCTCTACTTCTGCTCTCTCTATTTCTCTCAAAATGTCTGAAATAGTTAATTTCTTACTGTTTTTCAGTGCATTCTGGGCATTTAGGAAGGTCTCCTGAGGTTATCTTTAAAAAACGCTTCTAAACGCAAACACTCATGCATAAACACAGTATCCAAATGCGGCTAAACAGACGTTTTTTAACCTACGTTTACCAGCAGTCAGTTTCCATCGTTCAGAAGTGACTCATGTACATGGAGCCTAAGACCAGGCATTTTCTGGCACTTTTTGTTCACATTAAACAATCAGTAGTTTTTGCTAGAAAATTTCTTAGACGCCCCAAAGATTTTTTTTATATATATATATAATTGGTTTTTTTTTTAAGCAGAAGCCCTAGAGAATAAACTGGTGGGATTTTAATTTCTTATGTCACACAATATTGCGCAGCAGTTTTTCAAATGTAATTTTATGGGAATAAGTAAACTTTTTTGATCTGTAATGTAAGAAAACATGATACATAACCCTAATTTTTTTTAAATATAAAAGATGATGTTACTTTGAGTAAATATGTCATGCTTTAAAATTGCGCACGCCCGTGCAATGGTGACAAACGGCGTACATTTTACTATACATAAGCGACGCTTCAAAGTTTTACAAAGCTTTACAGATTACCACTTTAGTTTTACAGAGGAGATCTGGTGCTAGAATTACTGCCCATGATCTGATGTTTGCAGTGATACCTCACATGTGTGGGATGATCACTGTTTATGTGCATGCAGGACTGACCTGTGCATTCACATTTACGTGCAAGCAAAATTGTTTTTACAGTGTCTCTTTAAAAAAAGTTTTTTTTTTGGATCACTTTTACATGTTTACATTTCTTGTGACAGCAATAAGCCTGTGACAGGTACTCTTTATGGAGGGATCTGGGGTCAATAAGACCTCAAATCCCTCCTATGCCCTTAAAGGCATTATATCACACCAAGATCGGTGTGATTGAATGTTTTTATTTTTTAATCGGTGCTTGCTGTGCATTTACGGGTAAACCAGAAGTGATGTCAGATCATCACTTATGGGTTTCTATTTAACAGAGCCAAACAAAGCCATCCCAGTCTTTGTTTCAACTCTGTGACCAGCCAGAGTAGTGCTGGCTGGTCAACTGGGTCTCTCAGTGGGACGCGAGATCCAGCTGAAGCTGAAGAAGGAGGTGGGGGCGGGGGGAACATCCCCTCCAGCTGCTTGTAACGGCAATTGAGTGGCTCTTTAACCAACAGTCGGCTCTAAAAACCAGTACATTCCGGTCCAACCATTTGAAGTCCAGTGATTTACCAGGTACATGACTGGTCGGCAAATGGATATACTTTCTAGTGGCTGGTCAGGGGAAACATAAATACACTGCTCAAAAAAATTAAAGGAACACTTTTTAATCAGAGTATAGCATCAATTCAATTAAACTCCTGGGATATTGATCTGGTCAATTAAGTAGCAGAGGGGGGTGTTAATCAGTTTCAGCCGTTTTGGTGGTAAAGAAATTAACAACAGGTGCACTAGATGGGCAGCAATGAGTTGACCCCTAAAACAGGAATGGTTTTACAGGTGGAGGCCACTGACTTTTTTCCCTACTCATCTTTTCTAACTATTTTTCACTAGTTTTGCATTTGGCTAGGGTCAGTGTCACTACTGGTAGCATGAGGCGATACCTGGACCCTACAGAGGTTTCACAGGCAGTCCAACTCCTCCAGGATGGCACATCAATACGTGCTATTGCTAGAAGCTTTGCTGTGTGCCCCAGTACAGTCTCAAGAGCATGGAGGATATTCCAGGAGACAGGCAGTTACTCTAGGAGAGCTGGACAGGGCCGTAGAAGGTCCTTAACCTATCAGCAGGACCGGTATCTGCTCCTTTGTGCATGGAGGAATAGGATGAGCACTGCCAAAGCCCTACATAATCACCTCCAGCAGGCCACTGATGTGTATGTCTCTGACCAAACAATCAGAAACACTTCATGAAGGTGGCCTGAGGACCTAACATCCTTGTGTGCTCACTGCCCAGCACCATAGAGCTCAATTGGCATTTGCCATTGAACACCAGAATTGGAAGGTCTGCCACTAGTGTCCTGTGCTTATCACAGATGAGAGCAGGTTCACCCTGAGTACATGCGACAGACATGAAAGGGTCTGGAGAAGCCATGGAGAACGTTATGCTGCCTGTAACATCGTTTAGCAAGACCGTTTTGGTGGTGGGTCAGTGATGGTCTGGGGAGGCATATCCATGGAGGGACGCACAGACTTCTACAGGCTAGACAATGGCACCCTGACTGCCATTAGGTATCAGGATGAAATCCATGGACCCATTGTCAGACCCTACACTGGTGCAGTGGGTCCGGAGTTCCTCCTGGTGCATAGCAATGCCGGCCTCATGTGATGAGAGTATGCAGGCAGTTCCTGGAGGATGAAGGAATTGATACCATTGAATGGCCCCCACACTCGGCAGGTTGGACCTCAGACTGTCCAGGAGCTCAGTGATGCCCTGGTCCAGATCTGGGGAAGAAATACCCCAGCACACCATCCGTCATCTCATTAGGAGCATTCCCCGATGTTGTCAGGCATGCATACCAGCACGTGGGGGCCATA